AGTCAAACACGAAGTTGTCTGCCTCCAACTTGCAAACCCTCATGAAGAGTACTACTCAGCTCCAGATGCTTACCCATGGTTCCGTTCCTACTTGGTCTATTGGCAAGAAGTACAGCAGTGCTGACTTTGGTAAGATGTTGATCAACTACGGTAATGCTTGCCACCTGGGTAAGGTTTCTGATACCAATGTTGCTGCTATCAACGGTGTCTTGCAACAGATTGACTCTGCCAAGATCTTTTAAATTCTAGCTTTGGCAATTTTTGCGACTGAATATACCCCTTTGACGGTTTATTACCGTGTTTTTCTTGACTTTAATTCTTATTTTCCAAGTTACACATTATTAAAATGGCAGTGTATTGGTGTTTTTTCTTTTCATTTATCCAATTTTAAACATATCTTGTCTTATGCAATTAGTAGGCTAATAACTTAGGGTTCCGTTTACCTTATTGAGATGGTTGATTATCAAGCCTTGAGTCAAGTATTGGTGTCCTAGGTCAAGGATTAATATATAGAGTTAAATATTGATATCTAGAGTCAATTATTGATATATAGAGTCAATTATTGATATATAGTCAATCATTGATATATAGAGTCAATCATTAATATATAGGGTCAATCATTGATATATAGAGTCAATCATTAATATATAGGGTCAATCATTGATATATAGAGTCAAGTATTGATGTTCAGCAACAATATCGCTCCGCCTTCCTATGTAATCGAAAGTAGTCTAGATCTATGGCACATGTTCCTCTGGTGACATGCCATAATATGAGAATAATCAGAAAGATGTACTCCATATTCAATAAAATAGAAGTAGTCCAATTCAGAGTATAAAAAAGGCTCGAGGCAACGGGGGCCATTGGAATGATTGAACGAGTTAAAGACCAGCCGCACAACGCAGTAATGCACCATCATGCATACACCAGGTCCCCACGATCACGGAGTTAGTGGAGATGTTGTTAGATTGGGTAATGGAATTCTCGATTCGGCCCATTTGCCACCCGGCGGGTTTATACACACAGGTTCTTGCCATCTAAATCCTGTTCTGACCCCCTTAACTCGAATGTTGGTTCATAATGCCATCATCTAAGTAGCACATTTAAACCGACAAACATTGACGTGTCTTCCAGAAGAGAGATTGCTGGTTTATCTCGCCTTAGACGTGTAAGAGATGCG